TAACTACGTGGTACTTGTTTACCACTAGCAATTCCGTATTCATCATCATTTATATCATTGGAAAGAGCAGGAGTATTAACTCGTTTTTCAACTCCTCGACTTGTTCGATTGGTTGTTGATGAGGGTCGAAGAGGTGGATGACGTCTAGTAGACGATGATGACGCCATTTAAATCTAGAATAACGAAAAAAAACAAGTTATCATTGAACATAATTATAAATTAAGAGGTGGAGGAGTTTCTGCTTCAGCAACTTCTCCTCGTCGTTCATGAACTTCAGCACATGGTTTCGGTTCTTCTGGATGATTAGGTGAAACAGTTTTAGGTATATCATCATCATCATCGATTTGTGTTTTTATTTCTTGTTTTCTTTTTGGTATATTCTGTTCAAAAGCTTTTTTCCAATCTCGTAGTTGAATATAATTTAAAAGTATTTCCATAACATGATTACAAGCAAGTACACGACGTGTATTTAATTTAATAAATTCATCAATTGGTAAACGTGCATGTCGCCATTTATTTTGTAAAGCTAATTGATAACATAAACCTTTTCGAGAATTATGATCAACAATTCCACCAATAACATAAACAGTTCGTTCATCAAGTGGTTCTGTACTACTTAAAACATTTTCTGATTCACTTGTTAAATACAGTATATCATCATGAGGAAAAACTTCTTCTAATGATTCATTTCGTAAATAAATATCCCAATTTTTTGCACAATTTGCTTCAAGACGTTTTTCTAATTGACCATCAACATTTGTTATATAGAATTGACATGGTGTTGATGAACGACGATTTGCTGAATAACAAAAAGCAATTTGTTTTTGTAAACTACCTATATCTTTATCATTCATCATTGAATCATATCGACAATCAATACAAATTCGAATACGACATGAAGAATTTTCCATACGATTAGATTTAAGACCATGACGAGTAAGTAGAGATTGATCTTCAGCATTTTTTAATTTTTCAATATGACGTTGTTTTTGTTTAGCTTTTTCTTCTTTTCGTTTTGATTTACGTTTTTCAAGTAATAATGCATAACGTTTTTGTTTTCGTTGTTGATTTTTAGAAATTTTTGATGGTTTATCAATATCCATTGTTGAACTCGATGCTGATTCTTCTGGAGTAGACATCTAAATTGATATATAAATAATAAATCTTCAATTAACTTTCAAGTATAAACATAAAACCGAATTTTATACATTAGAAATCTCGGAAATCTAGTCAAATTTGATCATGCAAAGAAATATAGAGAAACAAAAAAAATGTAGTCTTATCAAATATAGAAACCTGTCTAATGATGTTCATTCAATGAACTATTGATGAAAGTTACTCATCATATGTATATCGACTTTTTATTATTTCTTTCGTTAATGATTTATATAGTTGAAATTAATGATGTAATGTCTAACAATTTTATACAAATAGAAAAACTTGTTAAAATCGTTATCATAAAAATAGATCATCGAATTTGACAATCAGAAATACTTTTGTTTACAATACTGTTTTCTTTTACATAGTAATCTTACTAATCCTTATTTTTATTGAACAAAAAAAGAACACGTTTATAAACATTTCTACAATTGTTAATTTAGATGTATCAATATAAATCCTTATAACTTTATCTATGATGATTCATCTTTTCTCGATGTCGTCAAGTTAAAATTTTATATACCAATGATGAAAACATTTATAAGATGTCACTAATACGAAAATTTCTTATTTTCTATTGGTTTATTCTTCTATCGGTCATAATAGTGCATCCATTGTGTGCGCACTTATGCATCCTCTATTCTGAAGCATAGATGCTTAGTTTTTTTACTTTACTATATAAAACTATCTTATATTGAAACCATTAATGTGGTCAAAAAGAAAAGTTTGTTCAAATGCGCGAATTATTATTTTTTTCTTGTTTAAGATGTCATTAAATCGTGTTAATCTTGTTGATTACAATAGTCCATCGTCATCATCATCATCAACACAACGTGTACTTCATTGTACAATATGTAATATATATCCTCGAAGTCTTCAAGCTTATGTTGAACATTTGGATATTCGACATCGTGATGAAGAAGTTGAAGTTGCATGTCCAGTTGATGGATGTGAAGAAACATTTCCATCTGTAGCTCGATTTAAAATTCATATACGAAAAATTCATTCAACACCAACAAATACAAAAAGTTCAACATCAACAAGTGGACTTCTTTCATCAACAAATTCAACAACAATAAGAACAAATAATGATATTGATGAAGCATCATCCGATGATGATGATGATAATACACATCGTCGAAATACTTATCTTAAACGACCAAAATTAGAAAATAAAAAACGTTTTGGAACAGTGAGTCGAATGACAAAAATTGAACCAAATGATTCAATGGAATATGGTTTAAAAAGTGAAGATGAATTTGCTGATGTAAAATATTTTCCCAAAACAAAATAAATCTTTTTTTTAAAACTAAAATTTATTTTCTATAGATTCAATTTGAAGATCCAGAATGGATGCCTGTCTCAGAACGAGTATGTTTTTTTTTCTTTTATTGAAAATTTTTACAAATTAAATTTTATTAATATTAATTAGCGTGGTACATTATATACACCAAATATGAGTTTAATGGGTGAAGATGAAGAAAGTGGAAGTGCAATGACACCTGTTTCTCGAACTGGTGGACGTGTTCGTTGTTATGCACCAATTCCACATCCACCTCAGTTACCGGAACTTTCAGAACGTGTTCAAACATGCTTAGAAAATGGTAAATATTTTAAAAAAATATTTAGAACAAAAAACAATAATTATTTTGTTTTGTAAAAAAACAAAAAGGACAAGCAGCACAAGTATTACAAGAATTTATAAATGAGACGGCTGAATTTTTTATGAAAACTTATCCACAATTAAAAACTGGTCGAGAATATCGAAAAATTGGTTTAGCATTAATTAAAAAATATCCTTGTTTAGCTGAAAAAGGCAATCATCTTAAACCTGAAGTAAGATATTTAATTCTTGTTTTTTCATTTCTTATTGATTTATTTTTTCTTTTTAGGCTTTACTATGTCGTAAATTATCTATTAAAATGCGTAATATGCGTCAAAAAATTCGTGCTAAATCTGGTCGAATTGAAAAAAATGATAATCGTATACATCAAAATAGTAAGTTTATTTTTTTTTTATTAAATTAATGACTAAAAAAAAGAAAAAACAAACATCTGTCATCAATTTTTTTTTAAATTAAAGATGATGCTTATTATGATGCAATAACTGCTAAACTTCGTCAGATTCAAGGTCAAGTTCAATATTCAACATTATATAAACAATATTTATCAAAGACACATACTAGACGACGTGAATGGTTGAGTAATAATGCTGATCTTAATCTATATGGAATTTTACAAGAATTACCATTTATGGCTGGAAAAGAATTTGTAAATATTTATGTCTTATTTTCATTGAAATAAAAATTAAATATAACAAAAAAATTTTTTTTTATAGTTAACTGGTGAATATGGTCTTTTACGTGGTAGACATATATCATCATTTAGTAAAACAATTGGTCTTGTACTTGATATATTAACAAAACATTTTGCAATACGAAAACGAGAAAATATGGATTTAACATATCGTTTATGTTTAATGCAATTATGTAGAATTTTAAATTGTAATTTTATTATACAAAATAAACAAGTAAGAAATAAACATACCTTTAATAACATAGATAATCCATGTGAATATTGAAGCAAATAGAAAAATGGAAATATATATGAGAGTTTTTTTCTTAAGAAAATTACTTCTTGTCATAATATATGTTTCGCTAAAGAGGGAGCTGATATACACTAGGTGAACTCATATTGACTCTTGTTGACGCAGTCGTAAGTAGATACAGAAAAATTTAGAGGTAGTATTTCGATGTAAAATGTTGCGCATAGATAAAAAAAATTGTTTTTTTTTAGATATTCTATGAGTCATTCAATCTGTACATAGACAAATGTCATATCGAAATTTTACTTTTTAGTATTTCCGTGTGTATCTAAAGTTGAGTTTTAAACGTAACGAAACAATTCTATGTCGGATCAAACGTCCATGGGAATGAATCTTTTTAGGCTTTTTCTAGTCTTACTGAGACTTCCTTGTGAGTTCAAACGGTGAGTATCAGTTCCGGTGCTTCTCAATAATATTTTGACTAAATATAATTGAGTGTCAAATTTTTATTACAAACTTAATATTTAGTTTATTGTATGTTAATTTATATTATTGATCAGTTGAGGGTTTTCGATTCGCTTATCTTTGATTAAAAAAAAAGAGTTCATTAGATGTAATTCTAATAATGATAATTATTTCGAGAATTTATAAAACTGTAAAAATTCTTTAATTAAATTTGATTTGAATTATTTTTTTAGACTGACAGTGTGAAAGGAAATGATAAAGAATCAGATGATAGTAGTCATTTACGATTAACTGTAATGGATTTTGTTAATGGAACATCATCATATTTCCTCTTCTATGGTCGAAAACCACTTTGTGAATTAGCAACAGGTCAAGGAATGTTAAAACAAGCATTACTTCTTTTTCTCGTTACATTTGAAGTCTACATGGTTGATATACCAGAAGAATATTATGGTAAAGAAAAAAAATATGTTTAGTTTTTTTCAAATAAAATGTTTTATTCTTTTCTTTTTTTTAGAAGCTGTAAGTTTACTTCGACTTGTCGTATTCGGTAATGTTTACGAAAATGAAGTACCAGAATCAACTGAAGCTCAACGTTTAATAGCGATTATAGAAGATGGTTTAAAAACAGCAAACTTATCTTGATTATATAAATAGATATCTATTTTAAATATACTTTTTTTTTTCTTTTTCTTGTCATTTGTTTGTTTTTTTTTTTCGTTGTATATAAATAATATTCGCAACTTGACTTGCCGCTAAAACAAGATAAATAATATATTACTTGATTTGAAGTTTTTTGTTATTATAAGTTAATTTCTTTTTTCAAATTCATCATGTATGAATTATTTTCATCGACATATAAATTAAATCAATCACCGGGTATTTATTGAGGGATTTAAAAAAAAAACAACAGAATTTTTGAGAATTTTTAAATTATTAAGTATCATTATGTGATCGATTGAAACAACGATATGGAAATTGTCAACAAAACTTACAATCGTTATTTCATGTTGATTGAAAAGAAAAACTTTATAGTAAATAGTATTTTATTTTATCTAGGATGAAATTCAAAAGAAAAATATTCGAGATATTGACTTTATTCGATATATTGTTAATTATGTTATTGAACAAGCTAAACATAATATTGTTATATCGGAAGTTTGTTTTGAAATTTGTCATAGTTCTAAAATACAAATTTACTTTTTTGATGCCATTATAGTTACCTGATGTTATTCGAACTTTACACAATGAAGCAAAGAATATTATTCAAAAAAATGTAAGATACAATTTTACATAGATTTTATAATGGATGATTCAGAAAGAAAGAATCCCTTTATAGATTTTCAACATAATGAGACAAATTTTTGCGATAGATTCTTCGTTTGATATTCTATAAACTTACATCTTTTATTTACATGGAACAGTTTGTCTTATTCATTTAAGGTGCATTGAAGCGAATAGATTCAGAATACGTCACTTTCAAAATACCTTTTATTTGTCAAACTTTTTGAATTGAACTTTGTAAATGATTGTGTCAGCCTGTGCTCTTATTCATATTAGATTTCAATCAATTATTAGTCGGAAACTAGTTCTAATGAAGGTTTCAGAAGAATCTTAGATTTAATTATTTAGACAAACAATCATTATTGTTAATCAAGAAGATAGAAATTATTCGAATTCCTTTAGAGCATTGTGCAAAAGGTCATCTTTGGAAAATCTTACACTTTCAATCCTATGAAAGAGAACCTTGTTTTGTTTGAAAAGTAAACTATAGAGGTATTGTTTCTAGATAGAGAAGATGATCATCTGTACAAAGTTTCAAACAAGTTGTGCCTATTTCTATCTGATGAATTAGCAATAATAGTGAAGTCTTGGTCGATCCTTCTGAAGACTTCATTATACCTAGATACAAGCTAATAATTTATTGAACGTTTCACTAAAGTGAAAGATGTAAATTTTTGGGAGAATCGAACGAGAAATCTATCAAAAACCTGCTCTACTGTATTGAAAGTGGGATGCACTAATCGTTATTGTTCGACAGAAGACAAGCATGGTTTGCAAGCGATAATAATCTTGTAGCAATTTTTTTAATTTGCAATGGCCTTTCTAACTTCGCCAATCATTGGTATTGTGTCGTTGTCAATCAATCTTGCAATGTAATGGAGATACTTTGAGTGTGGGCAACTTTGCTTACGTTTACCATGGTTGGACCTTGATGTGTAAAGTGCATACTTGCTGCTAAATTCGCTCTGGTTTTGTGAAGACAATGTTTAATTAAGCGTAGTTGTCTAGACTACACTGTTTGTGTCTAGGGCTCTTGTTTCATCTGTTCGTAGATGATCTTGGTCGATATTCTGTCCAAACACTTGATATTAAGCATTATTCTATAGCACCTAGTAGTGAAGTTATTTAGGATGCTTTCGAGCTTATTTGCCACAATTCAATTTTTGCAGTCTGATAAAAATATTGAGAGACATGAAGGGTTCACTTAAATTCAACCCAAGAATTGCAATTAGTGCATTCTAGTAGAAAATTTGCTGAGAAAAATGCTAAATACTAACAATGTTCATTGTTTATGAGTCATCCGTTATAATTAAATTTGAATGAATAGCAAATGATAACACTAGAAGAAGCAATTGATCAAGTACAAATGATTGGTGCAATGAAATATCCATATTTAAAAAAATTGAAAGTAGATCATTATTAAATTCTATCTATAATTAATGAAGCAAATAAATTATAATAGCCAATATGTACTGAAGATTTTGTTAATGAAGTTATACGTGAAGTATTCAATCGTCTAGGAACTATTATTACTTTAGATATGGTAGGTATTTGTATTAAATTCTTTAGAAATGATGAATATCACATTAGATTTAGATTGAAAATATTTGTCGATTTACTACTTGTTCTGCTAAACAGTTACTGCATGCAATGGTTTTTATATTGATGAAAATATTTTTCTAAAAAAAACATTTTTTTCAACGTAGCCTGCAATTGATGTTCATGAGGCAGCTACATTAATTATGGAAGATATTTCACGTAATCAATGGAAAGTCAAAAAATATCGAAGTATTTTTTTTTCATTGCTTAGAATTTATTATCATTTGTATTATATTTCGGAGCAAATAGATGTTGTAAATAATACAGCTCCGCTGAATCGTATGATAAAAGACAGTACGGTATCACTCTCACCTAGATATTCATATGAGAAGCTGAAAAGCACGTCACCATCTCCTAGCAAAGAACAGATGAAGTTCGAACAGGAATCATTAAATTTGATACAAAACTCAAATCAATCGCATGATAAAACAAGATTAACAAAGCATGGAAATATATCACTAACAAAGAAGAAAAGTAAATCATCAGAATGTTCATCGACATCTCATCGATCATCTAAGAAAAGCAATAAAAATCAACAAAATTGGTCCAGTAATCCAATGTAAAACTTTTCATTTTTTTTTCTTTATATTTACTTCCTAATAAAAGAAATACAGAATGGTTCGTATTCTATATCCTCGACAATAATTGTAAACATTTGTAGTGATTCAACTAAAAATCATCTTTTGAAATCGACGAAATCCAAGAGTCATTTTGCTGAAACGTTTATAAAAGATCAATTGATGACTGTGCAGCAACATAAATCAACGAAAGAACTTAACTCAACAAATGTTTCATTGTCGACTCTTGTATCATTTGATACTAATTCAACAGAAAAATGCCCACTAATGGGAATTGAACAAAAAATAAACTCAATACTTGAATCAACAAGCTCGATCGCAAAAGCAGAACGAAACAAAAGAAAACCAATTGTGCAAACTGGAGTACAAGAACAAGTAAAAAATCAAAATCAAGAAATTATTGAATCATTAACAGTAGGCATGTGCTATTGTAAATAAAACAAACATTTTAATTTTACAAGTGAACAGATCTATTCCCAATAACAAGTGATAATAAAAGTCAGAAGACGAAATTATCCAAATCGAAATCCAATACACAAACTTATTCTATTCATTCAGAAGAAGGTCTGTCATCTGGTATTGCAGTATCGAATATGAGTAACAATGCCAAAGTCAATACATTTATTACATCAATAAGATCACTGAATAAAATATCTCAAAAATTCGTTCAACAAATACATCCACATACAGAACCATTGAATAAAATTGTTCCTTTTTCCAATGCACTAATCAATTCAAAAGATTATCCTGTCATCATTGAAGCTATGCATTATCCACATCTGAAAGAAACCAAAACTCATACTAAAATACTTCAGCCTATTCACTATTACAGTAAACATTGTAATCAATATTCTCACATCAATAATCGAGACAAGCAATCGACCGAAATTGACATTGAAAGCTGTCCCTTAGAGAAAATACTTAATCATCGGTCTATATATCGAATATAATCGATTTGACCTTATTGATTTCAATAATAACATGATTTAAATAGAGGCATATTTTTTTCATGATCCAATGACACAACATTATGACTTTATGGTTCTTTTTTCTATGAAAAGCAATCTAGTGCTTTCAAGCCACAGTTCCCATAGATCTCATATAAATTCTTTCGTCCTTTTTTTCTCTTCTAATTGGGAACTAGTAATATGGCTTATTCATTGTTCTAGACGGGCGAAAGGAAAAAAAGAAGAAAAAAATGTATGCAAAGACGTACGAACTATAGAGCGAACATTACTATTGAAGATCCGACAACTACATCATCGTCAACGAGTTGTTGCTCCTATTTCTTTTCTTCTTGTTTTTTTGTATTGTTGTATTCTAGTCGGAAAAATGCTCCCCTTCTGAAATATTTTTTTTTTCTTATAGGAAAAAAAAAGAGAAAAAAAAAAAAGCGAGTAGGCAGAGAAAGCGAGTGATCGACTGAACGCTAAAAGCAAAAATAGTTATAGTAGTAGCATGATGATGATGATGATGGTAAAAAAATTTATTTTTTTCTTCTTTTCGATGTACTGTGCACGTAAATAGTGACAGGAAAAAAAGAAAGAAAGAAAGAAAGAAAAAAAAAGGTAGCTTCAAGTTGTTTTTTCTTTGTATATGCATCGTTACGCAGTCTGAGCAGCATATGTAATAATGTCTGAATTATCATCTTCAACACAAATATTTCTTTTACTTATATTATTGATAATATGTGTTTTAATCATTCATTTACTTATTCGTAAACGTTTTAATTATTTACCTGAAAGTGTTGCAATTATTTATATTGGTGGAATATTTGGTTTAGTTATTAAATTATACAATCAATGGATGTCAAAAACTAATGAAACATCAACAACAATTGTTCAAACATCATCACCATTATTAAATTCAAATTTATTTTTTATGCTTTTTCTTCCACCAATTATATTTGAACAAGGTTATCATTTACATAAAGGAAATTTTTTTCGAAATCTTGGAACTATATCAACATTTGCTATATTTGGTACAACAATAAATGCATTAGTTACTGGTGTTGGTCTTTATTTATTAGGAATCATTAATTTATCATATAAATTACCATGGAGAGAATGTTTTATTATTGGATCACTTAATTCTGGTACGAATAAATTTGTTAACATAATTTTATTTTTTTGTTTTGTTCTTTTCTTTCAGCTATTGACCCTGTTGCTATTTTATCGATATTTCAAGTACTTAATGTTGATCAATTATTATATATGCTTGTTTTTGGTGAATCAATTTTAAATGATGCTGTAGCTATTGTATTAACAAATGTTATTGTAGAATCAAAACGACAGTTTGGAAACATTAATACAACTAAATTAACAAGTTATTCAATGATTGGTTTATTAGTAAGTTCAAATTTTACAACAATTCCATCAGTAACAACATCACTTCGACCTCGAAACTATAATGATCTTGTTCATCGTGGTGAACAAAAATCTTTCTATGAACCAAAAGGAGATATATCAGCTTTATTGGAAAATGAAAATGAAAATGAAAATGATAATAAATATCCTTTAACAGATACTAACATTGAAGACCGAGTAGACCCAGATGTTTTCAATGAATATCTAGATAAAGATAATATTCCATTAAAGAGAAAAAGACAAAGTAAGTTATCAAAACTAAAAATCATATTGAAAACTATGATAATTTTATATTTATTTCCAAAACAATTTTTCTTTATAGAATCATTAAAATTTAAACGAGCTATACAAATCAATAGTACAACAACACCATGGACAACACAAGTTGTTACATCGATTAAAACTTTAATGCAAATTTCTACTCGATTTTCTTTAATGTTTTATTCATCTGGTTTTCTTGGTCTTGTATTTGGTTTAACAAGTGCCTTATTAACAAAATATCTGGCATTTGATAAAAGTTCATTATCATTAGAAATTTCATTACTTCTTCTTACTGCATATGCATCGTATATGTTTGCTGAATTATTTCATTTATCTGGTATAATGTCAATACTTGTATGTGGTTTAACAATGTCACATTATACACATGAAAATCTTTCAAATGTTGGTCGTCAATCAATAACTGTAATTTTTCGTACAATAGCATTTTTAGCGGAAACTTGTGTTTTTGTTTATTTGGGTTTGGGAATATTTGAATATCAACATGCATTTCATCCGAAACTTATTTTTTGGACTATTTTATTAACATTAATTGGACGTGCAGCACATGTTTTTCCTTTATCATTCGTAATGAATTGTTTTCGATCTAAAAATCATCGAATTACATTTTCAATGCAACTTATTATGTGGTTTGCTGGGTTAAGAGGTTAACAATTGGTTGTTTTTTTTCTTCTTATGAATAACTTATATTTTCATATAACAGAAAAATACCACTTGATCTAGTCGTCGGAGTTATTAGATCAATCGGAAAATATTTTTTACAATAGAAAATACTGAATAATCCTACTAGATGCAAATTAGCAGTGAAAAGTAGAATTAGAAAAAAGATATATATATATAAGAAGATATGATATATTTGAGATAAAGAAGAATTTCGTTAGCCGAAGGATATCTGAAAAACTATTTAGTTACATTTCATTTGTTACGGAAAGAAAAAAGAGAGAGTTTTATTATTCTTCGTTTGCACATCTCATTATTTTTACTAACTGAAAAATGTGTTTTGCAGATAATGTGAATAAAGCTTTGTTATTAGCAACTATGATTACTTCCATATTTGATAGAAATAAAAGCAGAGATTATTTCTACATGAATTTATGTAGAATAACAAAAACAGAAGATTGTAGGCTCATGAGAAAAGGATAATGTATACAATTGTATAAGACCATTAATGTGATGAAAAAAAAGGACGTGTAAAGAAATAGACTGAACTCAGTAAAAGAAAGCTGTTAGTACTATTCTTGTGGGATTAAGATGTGAAATGAGACGTTGCTGTTATTGGTAATCTCAAGGAAATTGTTTTATTCTATCATTTTTGAGATATATTTCTTCAATCTCATTTTACTTAATCGTACAAAAATGCAATAAGGAAGTAGTTTATCTATATAATAGTGAGACATTGTTCATATATACGATTTATGATCATATAAAACCAACATCTTCTGTCACAATTAGAGTCTGTCGATTTAATCCTAAATTTGGAACTGATTGGATACAAGTCTGAAATTTTTCTGTTAATGAGGTCGAAAAAAATTTTGAAACTGACAAACTTTAATCATGATCCGTACGTAGTTCACCGTTTTATCCCTATACCTGAACACTTGTTTTGGGTTATGTCACATAAAAAAGCAAGTATAACTTTATGATTTTAAGTTTCATTTCCATTCTCATATATCTCACTGTAAGTGGATGTCGCACATACAAAGTGTTTTCTCAAAATACTACATTTTTCTGTTTATTTCAATATTTTTTTTCTTTGTTTAGGTGCCATTTCCTATGCGCTTTCAGTTCATGTTGGTCAATATTATAATGAAAGTGAAGAAGAACTTAAACGAACTCTTGTTACAACTACACTAATAACTGTTCTATTTACAATACTAGTTCTTGGTGGTCTAACCATGCCTGTAGTAAAATTTATTCGACGACATTCATCATCATCATCTCATCAACATTCATTAGAATCATCTGATGATATGAATTTACATGCAATGATGAGTAAAACAATTCAATTCGATGAATTACTTAATGATGATGAGAATTATATGCATCAAAGAAAACATAATTTGAATGATGATGATAATGACAATTATGAAATCCATTTTGCTAAACCAAATACTATGAAAGGTTTAGAAAAATTAAATGAATTTTATATAAAACCATTACTTGTACGAAATCCATCATTAAAACAAAATGATGAACAAGATATAAAACAACATGATCGTAAACCATTATTATCATCGAATGGAAAAAAATCTTCATTTATTGATGATCTTGAAGATGATGATGATGAAGATGGTGAAGATGAATTACTTGTTGTAAATCAATTACGACAAGAAAATTTTCAATTAAAACCAATCAATCAAAAATCAAAAAATACAACACGAATAAATTTTACATCTCATGATACTTAATGTTTTTTTTCTATTTTATTGTTGTTGTTGTTGTTGATAAATGTTGTGAAAGAAAAATATAAATTAAAGAAAGATATATATATATATATGTATATTCATTATTCTCTTTTGTTGCTCTGTTCTATTTCGTGAGTAAAATATAAAACATAAAGAAGATAAACTAAACAATCTTTGTATATAAAAAAAAAACCAGGGTTATTTGGTCTTCATCAACAATTGAATTTTTTGCTCACTGTTGAGTGAATGAAAGACGAGGTACCGGTGTGATGATTGTACCAGCTGAGAATGGTGTACTTTGAGATGATGATGAAGGAACCTTCTTATTGTCTTTTACAGCATTACTAAAATAAAGAAAGACATACGATTTATATCGTCATAAATCAACTAATATGTATATATATATCATTATTTTTAGTTGAAGATAATTCAAAAATATGTATCACCTGTACATACGAATTACCCTCAACGTGCACTGAAATTCAACATTGATTGCACACTTCATAAAAAAATTTCATGTAAACTTCAAAACAACAATCAGTCAGTTTTAGTCACTAGGACAAAAACTAAACATTCTAGTTAAATTTTCTATAGTGTCGAACGAATTACATTGTGAAAGATTTAATAAGACTAACTTCTGAAATAGTTTTTGTAACTGATATCCGAGACCACTACTAAAAGAGAACTTGATCGATCACATTATCAATCGCATCACTATACATAATGATTTTTTTTTCTTTTTGAAACTGTAAAATGAACTGGTTTTTGTTTTGAGAGCTATATCAAAGAACATTATATTGAGTATCTTTTTTTGTCTGCCACAGCAGGTTCTCAGTAGACAGAGATAATACCTTGTGAAAATAAACTATGAAACGTGAGCTACATTTTGTCAAAACTCGTACTTCATTATAATGAATCTTTGTTGACATATCAGGACATCAAAGTCACCTTTTTATGGTACGATCAATTTTGAGAGCGATTATACATCTTAAAGAGAAAGAATCATTTATCTTATGCACGACTAAGTGATTGCATTGTTCGAAACAAAATCATAAAATAATGTATTTAAACTTCAGTACACCAGGCATGAAATGGTTTTGGACAGGTCACTAATTGCTCTTCTTCTCAGACCATGCGGCTGATATCATGCTGACAACGTTGTGACATGCATCTACTCTCGTTACTAGTATATGGCTAGCTAGTATGTATGAGAAGCTCAAGGAATTGAGCGCAAGAGCTCTGCTTTAGACCATCTTTTTGTCCAAAGTCTGCTGCTAAACAAGGGTATTCTTCTTTCATTTATCTCCTATAATCTAGATTTGGACCCGACCTATGAGTAAATAAACAATAATTGAAACTTGAAAATTTCTTTATTCTAAGATTTTATATTCATGAATGTTGCCTTATGTCTGTATGAGCTTTCATCTCTATTTTTCATCGATTATCCTACGCTCACCTCATATACTTTTAATGGACGAATTCTCTTCACACAAAATTTTACTATTCTTTTTGTTTAAGCAGATTTTGAATCTCGCAATGCGCACATAAAATATTAATAATCATCGCAAGTTTTAATAAGTTAGCTTTGAATAAAATAATATATGTCAGATTAATTTCTCAAATTAATCTAGTCAGAAATGGACATAACATAAGAACTTTTCTTTCTGTACATTTTGTCAATATAAAATTGTATTTTATTTTCTATTTTATCTTTCAATTTATTAACTTACATAGATATATTACCATTACTTCCACTTGAAATCATGCTATTATTATTTTCATCATAAGGTTCTTTATAAATTTTCTTTATTTCTTTTCGTCTTATTTCAAGTTGATCACGTGTTAATTTAATTGGTGATGGTGGTGATAAAATAGGTAATGTTAAATTTATAGATGTATTCATTGATTTATTTGATATCGTTGATTGATAACCAGAATTACTATTGTTAAAAATAGTATTATGTAAACATTGTACTATAGCACCGTCATCTAGCATTCGACCATTTTTTGATTTATGTTCATGTGCACGTAAATATCGATAAACATTAATAATACCTTCTTCAGTTTTACATTTTAATAATACACAAATACGATTACCATCTCTATCATACTAAATAATTAATAATAATAAATCGAAAATATTTTTCTCTTTAAAAATAATACTTACTACAGTAGCACGTAATCGTTTATGTAGTACAAGTTGTTTAAATGTAAGACGAACCGTATCGGAAAAAGTTGGTTTTACAGCTTCACTAAAGACACATTCAACTGCCTAAAAATCAAATCATTAAATATACTTTTTTTTAAATTTAAATATCGTTCACAAAAGTATATATTTACTTTAAAAGGAAATAAATAAAATTGTTCAGGTAACCATTTAAGTTGTGAAACATTAACATATAATGATGAACCATAATCAACAAGTCGAACACGTGCACTTGGTTGTTTATTTATTGTTGGTCCTTCACTTTTCGATACTACTAATGCTCGATGCCAAGATGATTCATAATGTAATGCTACTAATTGACCAATATAAACTTCTTTTAATGATTCATAACTAGTAGCAAATAATGAAAGTATATCAATAAATTGATAAAATTTTCGTTCATTTTCAGCTGAAAATTCTCGTTCAACCCAAAATTCACCATCACTAGTTAATATATCATTTATAGTACAATAGAATTTCGTACCTAAACAATTCATATGAAAAAATACTATTTTTATCAAAGAAACTAACGATCACTAATTTTCAAGATTTCGGCAAATACCATTCACTCCCGTTTCATTCCCACCTGATGATTTCTCAACATGAATCCTAACATTATCAATTACAACAATTCATAATTATATTTTATATAGAAGAGAATAACTTGTATCAATAAAAAGAATAACAAGAAAAATCCACAATTTATTCATGCTCATGACACACAGTAAAGCTCGTCAAGTTGGTTCTACATCTAATCAGGTCTAGGTTCAAAAATTTTGGATCCCACAGGATCTATGCCGAAGCACGTTACATATATAATGAAAACGAATTAAGTTCTTTGTTTTTATTTATTAACAAATTTCGTTTTTAGAGCTTTTCTACTTTGAGGGTGTGGATCTGCTTAATCAATGATCAATCGATAATGAATTCTTTAGATGATGAATCATGACTGAACTAAGAAGAAACCAAAATGAGAGATCATCGAATGAGACTGATTCGGGAACTGCCCATTATATTCACTTGTGATGAATAAACCTTCTGCACTAATTAAGACAAATACTAAATTTTAGTCCAAAGGAAATCAACATTTTACGAAGTTCAAACATTATGAGAAAAGAAATTTTTAGTTCTCTTAACTAAAAACTATTCAAACCATTGGTAAATTGCATTGGTTCACCATCAAGAATACATAAATCTGGTACTCGTTGTTCAGTAAGAGATCGTAGATCTTCGCTAATATCATTTGACAGGTTATCTTCGATTGCATTTAGTTGACGTTCATGAGTATTACTAGGAAACAAAATAAAATAGATTATCATATGAAATACAGTCTTTTAAATTGTTTTACTTTATAATCAATGGTGTATTTGTTGGTTCTATTGACGATGCGGATGAACAATTCGATTGAGCTATAAATGGAGAAGTTGTTTTATTTGGTAATAATTGTTCGTATTTTCGAAATAACTCATAACGTTGCCAGTCATGTTGTTCATGTATATTCATTAATTGTAGATCATTTAATATATTCACAGTTGTACTAGTCGTAAATTTACGATTCGTTTCATTTAATCTATCTATTAATAGAAAAAAAGAATTATTCTTTTTTTTGTTTCTCCTATGAACATTCAACATTTGTTTATTTACCAATGGTTTCTGACTGTTTCTTAATATCTTCAGTCATTATCGTAAATGAATCTAGAATTAATAGTAAGAGTATTTTATTTGTTGGTTTTTTGTTTATACAAGAGAAAAAAAACACAGAAGAATATAGAACAAAAAAAAAAAAAATCTTATTTAATATATATCATCAGATTGTGTCATTTCATCTAAGTTATGTAACTGATGTTGTCGAATACGTTCTGCTTCTGTTGAATCATCAATCCATGATACTTTTACTTCTGATGACGAATTTTCATCGATTGTTAATTTTGCTTGGTGAGCAAGAAAAAATGAACGTGAAGACATCATATTTATTTTTGATGAAGCTGTAGATACAGTATTTGATAATAATGATGATGATGAGGACGATGATCTTTGATTGTTAAGTAAAGTTGGCATTAAAATATCAATATCAGACATTAATCGATCAACATTAATTTGTGATTCTGTTGGTGGTAATTCTGCACTAATTTTATCGATTTGTGTATCAGTTAATGTTTGTTCAAAAACAGGTGGACGTGGAACATTAGAATAACGTTTAAGTAAAGAAAATGGTGAAAGAGCATATTCAGTAATAATTGAAGGTGTTGATGCATTAGACCCTGGTGTTCGACGAAGACGAGGAGTATCATCTTGCTAAAATAATAATGGATCATATCATCCTTTTTAAAAACAACAGAACGTGAATATGGATGTTCAAATAAAAGTTGTGATAAATTATTAAAACTACAAGGAATTACAATGTATGCGAAAACATGCACTAAACTATGATTGAAAGAACACACGCATTTTAGGTTTAGAGACCGAGATCTGTTAATGATCTGAAAGTAACAAGTTGATGGACGATATAATAATCTTTTTCTCAGAGATGTAGTTCCAAGTTTATATGATTCAAAAGTGATACATTCATTTCAGTGTTTAGCTTTTGTTTTTGTTTTACTATTTATTTAGTTATCCATTGTTTTCTGTCTGTGTCTTTTGAATTTTATTTATTTATTTATTTTTTTCTTTTCAGTCTAGTAGATTGTTCTGCTCAGAGATCGAAACGAAGGAAATTATTCGACAATTCGATTCAATAGCAATCTTTTCATTAATTCTCAACCATGAGCAATAAAATTCACTTAAGTGTAGGGTTGATATTTTCTCTTATTAGTATATGGTGGATGTTTACGGCTTCGATTGTATGATCAACAATACAGTTATAAATAAATGTAAATTTGATGATTTATTATTCTTCTACATATTCTAATTTGCTAATTCAGATAATACATGATTTTCGAAAACTTGACTAAAAACCGAATATTGACTTTTTTCTAATTGAAATGCTACAGCATTGATCCATTTAGGACTACAGATTATTAAAGTTCGACTGAAAATAGTTTATTTCTTTTCTCAATATGTGCGTCTTCTTCTCAGAAGAATATAACTAAATCAGTATTAAACATTTCTTTTTATAATACTCAAGTCTTAGTTTTTACTGTAGTTTCGCTTTGAAGCTTATTTTTTTTTTATCTAAACTGTTTCGCTTAGTAATCTGTCTCAAAAACAAAAATGAATCAATTACATACGAGTAATGTTTGATCAACATTAAAATTGCCTGTTTGTTGACGTGTTAATGATGCTGATGATAGCATAGATGAATTTGAACTACTACTTTTCTTTTTATCATCTATTAAAATTTGATTTGAATCTTGTCTAAATTGAGAATTTCATTTATAAAAATGATTAAAATTTTAATATTTACTTTTCATCTCGATCCGATGAACATAAATAATCATTTTCAGATACAAGTTCATTTTTTTCACAACAATCTAACAACCATTGTGGATTAACAATATGAGCACTAAAATAATAAAATTGTTTTTTTTTGAACTAAAATCAATAAATTTAACTTTTACTATGGTGCAATTACAGATATTTGAGTATAGTTTGAAAAAGGTTCAGTACCTCGAATAATATGTGTTACTGATGGATTGAGCGTATCAAATCTATGAAAAAGTAACAAAGAAAAATTTATTAAAAGTTTGACATAATGAAAAGTTAATTTACCGAATAGCACATCCACCATCAAGAATTTTTTGCATACGCATTCTTAATACTGAAGAAAATTGACCTAAGAATACCTAGCAAACAAATGATTATTATAAACTATTTGATATTTAATTTATAAACCTTTAAACCATCGAATAAATCATCTACAATTTTTTTCGATCGATTATTCATCCATTTATCAAAACGTTCTTCAAGATCATTCATGTCTTCTATAGTTAATAATGATGTTGATTTACATCGTTGATCAACAGTAATAATTTTTGATGATGAATCAATTGTGTCACTCATTAAAGGTTTTTCATTTTCTATAAATTAAAATTCTAAATAACGATAATTAAATTTAAATTAGAAATAACCTTTACTACTATTTAATTCAATAGTTGGTGTTGGCCATAAATAATTCGTTAAACGAAGACATGAACCTTTTTCACTACTTTCAAAAATCCATTCAGGTTTAAGTGTTGGAATTCTCCATTTAATTGCATGTTCAAATTTTGAACCTAAATCAACAAAATCCTATCGAATGAACATCTAACAAATGTGCGAAAAATATTGTCAAGAAAGTTAACATTAATATCTCTTATACTATTCAAGTAGTATAATTGATTTTCATATAAATATTTGTGCTTATAAAGATTAAAATAAGAGTAATTCTATAAATGATCAAATTTGAGTCATCTATCGTTATGAAATAAAATCTACCAGTTGACCTTTGCAAGAAGACATTAAGTGAAGATTAGATTAAACTTAAATTTCAATATTTCTATAAAACTAGTACTGTGAAAGATGGAGAATGTTCTGTAAGATTGTCAAAAATTCTAGCAGAAAAAAGTCGACAAAGTTCGTAATATGTACGAAAGATGAACGATAATCAAATATCACAAAGATCTACTTCATTCTATGAACAAAATATCTTTCGTTAAAGTCATACAAGGTACAATTTGTTTTTAAAATGAAGCAGATCTTTGTAACATCTCGAACATTTGATTATGATTCATTTTTTAAAAAAATCATAAATTTCGTCAACTTTCTCTGCCATAATTTTCTACTATTTTACAGAACATTCTCTATACTTCACTGCACAAGTGTTACAAAAGGGTAGCATAGACGACTCAAAGTTAGTCATTGATAAAACTATTCTTATTCTAATCTTTATAAAGATAAACATTTTTTCGAAAATATTCACAAGAATATTTGACAGAAGATATCAACATTGTATAAGAAAATTAACTAAATTGTTTGATTTATGTAAGAGATATTTACATTAACTTTTTCGACGAACTTTTGATACATTCTATATATTTATATCAAAATTTTACCTTTCGGTTCTTTACAAATCAAATGAGTACATTTATCTTTAATTAAACTTGGTGAATATGTTGCACCTTCTCGTTCAACATATTGTTTAATTGTATTACGATCTCGTTCAGCAAAACCCGATAATGAAATAATAAATTTATAGAAAAGTGGACATTTAAAACGATCAAATGTTGAATCCGTTCCTTTTACTGTTCTATATAACAAACAATAAAATTAATTTAATTCTCAATATTTTCTCATTACTTTTGTCCAGAAAGTACAAGTACATTTTGAATCCATTCTGGCATCATTACTTGTATTCCATTTTCAACGGCAACCTTTATTTTAAATCATAAAAGAAAATTTAAAAAGAAAATCATATTTGTTAAATTTACAAAATATTTTTCTGATGCTGCACAAGTTCCACATACTAAATGAGTAACATTTGCATTAAGATTTGTTTGAAATTTACCACCCATATAAGCGACAGATCGACGAATTTTTTCCTATTAAATTATTAAAAAATTAAATTTTTAATAAGAAAAATTAATTCTTACACGATCAGCATGTGAAAGATTGGTACAACAAATAGTTAATGATTGCATAGCAAGTGAATAAAGAGGATAAGAACTACATGGAATGGTAATATTATGATCGACACATGTTGTAATTAATTGTGGACCAAGAACCCTTTTTTTTGGTCATAAGGAAATAAATAGAAGGATTAAATTTTTAAAAAATAAAAATCAAGATGAATTTTTACCAGGCTTTATTATTTTTTAAATATTGAAATAATTGACCAGAAAATGGTTCAATAACAAACATTTTTCCTTTTAAATCTTTCATATTAATCATTGTTTCTTCATCAATCATATGTGGTTGAAAATTACTTGATTCTAATAACTGATAATGAAAAAAAAAACAGTTGCAATCATCAATGTAATGTTTTAATCTTGAAAAGTTACTTGAAAAACACTATTCAATTTTTCTCCTTGCCATTGAGCATGTAATGCATTAGGTTGTAAAACAAAAATTGACATCTTTTTTGTTGTACTCATTTTTGAATGTTTCAAATATTAGAGAAGATTTACTATCTGTTTTTTTTCATAATGATACTGGCGACATGAAAACTAAGTTCTATGTCTTAAATTTTATTGGTTCGAATTCAAACGCGTCAAAAAAAAGAACCTGGATTGAAGAAGGAATGAAAGAAAAGTGAAAAATCCAATCCAATGTTTGAAGAATGTCTGAAATTCTTTTTTTTTTTTTGTTTGACAAAAAAGAATCAACAGACGATCAATGTCGAGAGCGTAGTGTGTGACTTTTTTTTTTTTTCTCTACGACGTTAAGTTTTCATTTGCTTTCTTGAAGATACAAGTAACTATAGAAGGAGGGAGGCTTACTGCATCGCAACATATTCTGTTTTGAATACAATCATGGCGAGTAGTAAAAAGAAAGGTGCTGATCCTAGTCGAGCTTCTGTAGCGACTGAATCTAGTCGTAATAATAAAAATGTTCATCCTCATGAAACATGTAATGTGCGACATTTTATGAAAGAACATCCATTTTTATCACAACTTTTACGTGAAGATGGAACTTTATTTGAATGTGATGGTCAAGCTCCTGCACCATCGAAAGATTATGGTCAATTACAAATTACTCTGGACAAGGTTGATTGTTTAATGATTTTTTTTCTTGAATTTTAATTCTTTATGTTATTATTTCAAAGGTTATTCTACGTTGGTGGAAAATAACACTTCGAAATATTGATGGTTCAATGTATCCAGGTGAAATAAAAGATTCATATGAAGATTTTTATTATGATGAAGTTGCTCAACGTGAAATATGGCGTATATTTGGTCAAGATACTCTTGATTATTGTTTAAATTTAGTTCGTGGTAAATTTGATTGGTTAACACGTCTTCCACCAAATGTTCAAATACGTATACTTTCATTGGTAAATCTTGATGATATCCCACAAATATCATTAGTATCAAAATCACTTCGTTCACTTTGTCGTAATAATGATCTTTGGCGAATATTTTATATAAATCATTATGGACGACATGCTTTAGAAAATAAAGATTTAATTCATTTAGCTGAACAACGTGGTTGGCGTCATGTATTTTTTACAAATCGTTTGAAATTACAAATGCAAATGCGTCGTGCAGCTCAACTTGATCGTCATCATCCTGAAGATCCATCAGATCTTGTTAGAGCACGAGAACGTCGTTCTCAATTACAACCAAGTCCACCAGCAACACCAAGACAACAAGAACGTTTTGTTCAACCGTCAATGCGACGTCATTCATTTGCAACACGTAAAGAACCACCATCATATTCACCTCGTGCATCACCATTCCCTGATCAAGACGAATCTTCTCGTACAGCTCGATCATATCTTGACGAAGTGAATGAATCACCAAGAATACGACGACCACCATCGCCTTCTTCATCGGTACGATCCAATGCAGGTAGTGTGGCTTCAACATCATCGGCTCAACCACCTGTAAAATCATTGCATGGATCATCCAATCGTCATTGACTCTTTTGTGTGCCTTAATTCAACTCTTAATTGCGTGAACTCACATTCTTTTTGCTTATTCTTAACTGCTCAAATTGTAGATATACGCTTCTTTTATTACTTTAATAAACAAAAGTTTAGAAAATTCAATATTTATACAGTTAAAACATACAAACACTGCTTGCAACATTATAATTACATCTTTGTTTTTTTAAAGATCATCCTTTTTTATTTGCTGAAAGGTATAGCCTTGTGTTTCAAAATAAGTGTTAGAATGACATAAACATTAAAAGGTCCCTTTGTTGATAAGTAAAACAAAATTTATGAGATAGATATTGTATTAAGCATAAGATAACGCTGCGTCTAGATTAGAACCACAGATTTTTATCAATATCAGAAAGTATTCTTCACCTTAAAGATTTTGTAGAAAAATTTTTTATTGTGAAAACTGCTTCTATGAATTTTATAAAAAAAATTATTGCCTTTTTTTATTTTAAGAACGTGAAATTGAGAATATTGAATAATTATGTGAACTTCATTAATTTTGATTATTAGTTCAAATTACTCACAATCTCTAACAGGATGTACGATGTAACTGTGTGGGCAAACAAGAAAAACCTAAGCTTCAGTGCTCCGAAATACGAGTGAAGTACCATACTGCATTCATACTTCGAAATACTGAAGTCTTGCTTTTTCTTTCTTGCCGCATGAAGTATGAGCGTAGATGTAGGTGTTGGCAAAGAAAAACCTTATATCGACAACCTCGCACCCCTCAAAAAGTCATTTTCTAATATGCAAATATATAAAATTAAATGATATCCCAACAATATGTTCATGCAACGTTCTGTCAATATAACGATTTGTCCTGCTATTAAAAGTCCTATCATTCTGATTGATTTTCTTGCTGCAAGAAAAATAAATTGCACTAGGCAAGAAATAATATTTTTTCAAGGGAGCTACAGTTATGATTGCAAATAGAGTAAACAATAAATTTCATGTCAAATTACAGCTCAAGACACTGATATTTAGTAAACGCTGCCCACACTAATCTTGATCATCAATAAAATACTGAGGCATCGACTCTGCCAAAGTATATTTATCAATGAAAATATCGAGATCAAGCGTATCTATCCTTCCTAAAAAAATACATGAATTTAGAAAATGTATAATTCCGAATAATCAAGACTGTAAGTATGCATATGTGACATGCGGCGTGTGTTGGAGTAGAAATGAGTCTTCTCCTCGTTGATGCCCTAACTCGTCAAATCTTGTTATGACTTGACGATGGATGAGGGAAGAAATACGATCTGGATCGAATTGAGAAATTGAATCAATCGATGTGCTGATAACTTCTATGAAATAGACAAGAAAACAATTTTCTTTTTAAACAATACTATATAGAAAATAAGATCTGTGAAGTTCGAATTCAAGTTTTTCAACTTACATGATTTTTTTATGTTTTGAACATCTGAAATCATGAAATATGGATCAGTTTCTTAAGTATGGACCTATCTGAACATTTGATGCTTAATCAAATATAGGTGAATGAATGAAGATGACCAGATCACTAGTAGTCAGATCAATTCACACAATGAACAAACAAACATAATTGCCATCTGACTTTAAACAATGTTCCGAATGTGTTAATCAAAAATTGACTACATTTTCTTTCCTAGATTTGTCTTCCACTGATGTTCTTGTTTTATTACTCAGTACAGTCACGTTTTGAAAATTTGCTTTTGCAATAGCACTGAAAAAACATCATATCATTATGGTTCTCACAGATTCGCTTCATCTGAGTATATACTTTGCACAATTTCTCTATCGAAGTTGGGGAAAAACAAACGCCCATAAGTCAATGAAATACGTCATTATTTAAATACTTGCCGGAATTTTTCCGCAAAAAGAAGTATGAAAAGAAAACATACGTGTTAGTCACCTTCTATTTGCTCTCTGCAAACAACTCATGCTATGTTGGGAGTGCATAAGTTACTTTTATCCAATGATAACGTTGGAAGTAATCGAGTAATTTCAATCTAGTCTAAATGAAAAAAGATATTGAGAAAAGAGTATGTAGATGTCATTCTTGAAATAACAAAAGGCGAGATACTATTTGATATGCATATAAACGAGAATCAGATTAAAGAACATCACTGCATACTTAATACCTTCTCCTATTCAATTTCTTTCATCCTTCTTCTACGAATCGGACGGATTTAAATAACTATTTATATTTTATAACAAAAAAATAGATGTGTTTTGCTCATGTGTATTAGAGTTAGAACTAAATTGAAGATGCAAAGATGAAAGTCTAATTGGATGCCATTTATTTTTCAACACTCAAGCACATTGAATGAAGAAAACGTAGAATGACAGCATGCTGTATCATATCTCGAGAACAAGTTACCATAAATCACCTAGCTGAAATTGATATCTTCAAATACAAGCAGACTGATTGTATTTATGGGCATTAGTCATAAGACGACATTCTCATAGATGTTGTTTAATATAAACCGATTTTATAGAGAGGTTTCATGGAAAAAGGAATATCTTGACTCCTGTTCGACAGCATTTGAGGTATTGGATAAGAAAGCTTTGATCCGAACTAAATCCATGTCGATCGTGCAAGAAAACATCACTCATCTTTGATCGGTTCGTTCAAGTGAACCGTATAATTCACATCCCTACCCTTCTGACGTATTGTGAGATGTAGTCGTAGCATCTGTAATCAAGTTGTTGATAATGAAAAATATAATTCGCATAAGTGAAGGATTGCAAAAACTCACTATACGATTCATAAGAGAGATATCGAAAGAAAGAATAAATCTTATTAGCAGACAAGGAGATATTTTGACTAAATTTTGAGAATGTAAATTAAAAAAAGATTTATTCGATTATGTTTATGAAGCATCAATATAATCATTATTGATTATTGAAAAATTAATAGATATTTATCATACTTTGATCTGATTCTATTTTTTTTTTGATTTGCTATATTGATCTAAAACAAAACCTCTTATCGGCATAAATTAATGTGTTTTACAGACTCAATTGGTGTCGTATTGAAAACAATCATCACCAATAGAATTCAAGATTGACATAAACTTGTTTCTCATTTGCAATGCCTTCAGAAGATACTGATCAAACCTTAAACAAACAATAATATAAGCAATAAATATCAGAGGAGAAAATTTTTCATCGAAATCAATATCAAACATTGAATCTGATATATTGATCACGAATTTACTTAAATTGGTTGAACTTCAAAATGTTGACTTATATACAACTAGTCTTTAGTCTGTCAAGTATAGAAGAGAAGAAGCAGGTTTGACTTAATTTGAATATTGTTCACGTCTGATTAATTATTAAAATCAAATAAGTTTTATGCTTGTAGTGAAGAAAATGCTATGAAAGGTATCAAAGATGAAATTTTTATATGATGAGAAAGATTGAAAAAAAATTCGTCAGATTAGAAAATATCGAAGAGAATTTTTATAAGCTTCTTTTGTTTGCTTTTGATTTTTAAATAAAACAATAAAATCGAATATATTATTTTTCTTTCATTTGTTCTTAATTCAACAAATAGTACATCATTGGTGGACCACATTTTTTAACATTCTGTTACTCCCCCGTCATTTGAAAACGTGCAAGGTAATAATAAAAAAATTATGCTACTAAAACTTTTTAAATAATTCATTTCTTCTATTAGGATACAACTAATCTATTGCATCTTTTTTTCTGTCAAAAAAAAATATAAAAACATCAGTAGAAACATTTGAATATTGTGTCGTTCACTCTTCTACGAAGTTAAGTAAACAAATTTTGATTTTTTGCTTCGTATGTTTTATTAAAAAGTACACGAACAAGAAAAGAAAAGCATTAAAACAGCATAGAATAAGCTGCACAATGGTCGATCGAATTGAAACAAAGTAAATTTATGCATTTTAACAAATTCTATTCAACCCACCTTGTATTAAACTTTTATAGACCCTGTACTAACAAAATTGATCTTCGTCTTCAAACATTAATTACATCTCCGTATGCACAACAAAAATTACAGCTCGCTGGACTGGTATATAAAATCATCTTTTAGAATTTATAATTGAATTTTTTTTTCATAAGTCTGCAAAAGAGTCATTCTTTCATTTTTATAAGTCAGTTCTGTTTTGATATTTTTATATAACTTTTTTTCAATTATCTTTCAAATGATTATGTTTTTATAAGTCTTTTGTTTGACATTTAGATAAATCATCGTGGTCAGATTATTACATCGAATGACTACCTTCGTAGTCTAGCTCAACGAAAACGTCAACGACGAGAACGTGAAGCAATAAAACAAGAAATAGTCCTACGGTTTGTTATTTTAATGATTGATTACTATTGTTTATTCATGCAGACTTTAGAGCATTGAAAATTGATCAAAATAATCCTCGTGGTCGTCGTCATCAATTTGAAATTGTTACACAACGTGCTGTAAATAATAATTTTGAGGTGAGATCAAACAAATCTTCAAACATAATGAATATCGTTTTCTTTTATTGTACAGTATCTCAGTAGACAATATAGAAAGCAATCATATGGACGTAGAAAATCTCGTGAGAAAAGTGCTCCGGGTTTTTTACCGGTAATAATTAAGTTTTATACATAGTCATGATATAATAAACTAATTTCAGACAGCAGAAAATGATAGTGAACAACGAATACGAGTGACTTCCGCATACAAAAGAATATTAAAAGTCAACAAAGACTTACCAGAATCTGATCATGAACAAAATCGTACTGAACCCGTAAGTCTATCTAATATTAGTCACTAGAATATAGTACTTGTTTTTTTTAAATTGATTCATTCTACAATTGGATAAATCACAGATGATTTCTGTCGAACGTCATGTTTGTGATGTAACTATGTCTTACGGATCAAATACGACTTTGAAAAAAGGACAACATGACCGTGACGAAATTGTTGTTATGCAGCAGCACACCACCGGAGAAAATTTGGTAATCTATAGAGGATTTTTAGACAAAGGCGGTAGGTATACTAACCAAAATAACTATCAGACATTTGCTTGGTGTAGAATCCTTTTCATTCAAATCACAACGTCGGCGCACATCTCCTCTCTCATTGGCTTTTTATGCCAAAGGATTTATTGATAGTGTAATAAATGATTGCTGTGAGTTTAAATATGGTAGAAGAAATCAACACAGTAATGAACATAGTCAATTTTTGGTTGAACGAGTTCGAAAAGCTAGTCCTTGTGAGAAGTAAGTTAAATACTTATTATAAAAAATAGTGTATAAAAATATAGTGAATTTTACTAGTTGTCGACAAAAATATTTTCAAAGAGCATTAACAGCAAATGGTAATACTATGCTATCGGATACTGTAAGTTTCGCTGTAATAAAATACCCAAAAAATGGTTTTGCAGAATTAGTATTTTTCATGAAAAGTGGAGTTTTTTTTCAAGTACTAGTTTGTAATTTTGTTTATTTAATGTTTTTTTTTTAATGAAAGATACAAAATGAACATTCTCAAAAAGTGCTTCAATGTCTTTTAACACCTTCATCCGACCCTTCAGGTACAAATGACATATTCATGCGATGAAGCAAATTCTGTTTTTATATATTTCTAGTTGACAAACAAGAACATGATTCATCGGAAAATCTAAATTCAAATTCAAAAGAACATCATGAAAAAAGAAAAGTAGTCTATTCTGCTTTTGGCTAACTGTTAATTATATATTGCGTTTCATTATAGATAACCCAACACAGAAAGCATAGAGAAACTGTTAATACAAGTGATGAGAATAGTAAGCAATCTTTCGAATGATTTCAATCGTCTAATTCTTATGAATATTTGATTTTTCTAGAGAACAAAAATAAACAGGTTAAACGACACAGACAAACATAAGTGATCTGACTTCTTTTTGTATCTATATATAGGTAACGGATGAACAAAAGCAAAAGAAATTATCTTTCAAGTCTTCCTCACAACAACAAATAAGTCGAGGTAAAAACTTTCTTGATAAAAGACTTTTATTACAACTTGTTACTCTGATCTATTTACATAATGTTACAGAACAAACATCATCAGTTGACTTCAGTCTTCTAGAATATACACTTCTTCAGGAACAAAAACCATCCAAAAAAAGAGTTCCAAGAAAATCCAGTAATTCATCGAATATAAGAAGAAATTCAATCAAGCACAGTGTCGAAATTAGTCCTAGTAAAAATTCATTAAAAAAGTTTCTTGTAAATAAAACTATTTATTTATATAGAAGAAACAACACCACCTGCACCTTCACCAGGAAAGGAAAATATTGAAGCATGGATTGATCAAGCAGATAGTATTCCTTGGGACACTCGCAGTTCACCTAATAGTATCAGTACAGTAGGTACGCAAAAGACTTTTTCAAATGTTTATAATTCATATGCGACAACATATGTTTCTTAGCTAAGACGTTAATATCAAAAGTGTAATTTTTATTGAACAGAAAATTAAAATTGTACTTCAATCAAATTGTTTCCGCACATTTATTAGATATTTTTCTTTGGAATTTCAAAGAGTTTAACTGATATTCTTCCTCACTTATTTAGAATTACAAGAACTCTTACATCAATCGCAATCAATACGTGTAATACGTCTTGAGAAGAGTGTAGAAAATTTTATTTATATCCTGGATGGCAACGTACAAATTTCAAATGTTGACAAGACGAAACTACGGGGCCTTATAAATTTTGGATTCATATTTAATGATATTAATGATAAAATATGTATTGAATTTATTACTCAAATTGTCAATGAACAAATAATTATTATTGTATCGAGTACGACTATGGAAAATTTAGATCAAAATATACGCAATGCTTTACAAATTCATTCTGTTTACGTTGTTGACGATATAAAAGATTACTCAAATGATTTTGACAAAATTCGAGGTATTTATCCAAATATAGTTAATGTTTTGGATCAACTTGAGAAAGATATCATACTATTTACATATGATCTCAATACGATCTCATCAGTCCCTCCTAGTGACACTAGTGACAGTACTTTTGCTTATATACAAGTATTAAAAGATATACTTTTGGAAACCGATGAGAAAACTGACTTGAAAAAACAAATGTTAGACTTCTGTCGTTATGTTTATGCTGATAATGCTATACAATTGAGCTTTATTGATGAATTTGAACATCGTTTTCGACCTGATGAAGCAGTTCAATGGTATTTACGTGAAGAAACTTTTCTATTTAAAATGCTTACACGAACTTTTCGAATACCGGAGCCGGACATACTTTTTAAACTACGTTTTTTCATTCAATATCTTCATCGTCAGTTGAAGTCAAACTTCTCCCGAACATCAACAATTGTTTATTGCACTCAACATATATCAAACGATAATTTTGATATAATATTAAAAAATCAAGGAGGTTTTCTGGCTTTTAGTCAATTTCTTTTAACAAATAAAAGTAAAATTAGAGCAAAACAACAAACTACCGGACTGCCATTTAACAAATCTGAATTCAAATTAGTTCTTTTTCAAATGGAACTTGGCACTACAATTCCTAAAATAGATATTGATACATCTCATAAGGAGGTACTTATTAGTGCTGCGACTATATTTCGTATCTCAAATGTCAAACAAATAAATAAAGAAATGCCTATTGTAAAACTAACGTCAGATAATGACGTATTGAAAGCAATACAAGAAGTAACAAAGAATGTACGTGAAGCTGCTCGTGGATCTTTTCCATTACTTCGTATGGCCAAACTCATGAAACAGATGGAATATATTCAACATACAGAATATTTTTGTCTAATGTTAATGGATGATCCAAAAGCTATAGAAAACGAAGCAGCAAATTTAATTGTTGGTGGATTGTTTCATACACTTGGTAGTTTTTATTATGAACAAGAACAATATGATCGCGCACTTGAACAACTTGAAAACTCTCTTAACGTCTATTTACGTATTGTACCTCCAAACGATATAAAATTAACACCTACCTATAATAATATGGGAAGTATCTATCATAAACAAGGACTTGATAAACAAGCACTTCAATTTCATATGAAAGCGTATGATATACAAGTAAAATCTTCAAATCCTGATCCAGAATCTATAGCTACTTATGCAGGTAATATTGCTTCTGTACTTGTACAACAAAGTAAATATAGCGAAGCAATTCCATTCCTTCAACATGATTTACAAATTCGAGAACAACTTCATCCTAATGGTAACGATATAAATCTGGCAGTTAAATATCATAGTCTTGCCGGAGCTCAATTTGCAATTAGTAAATATACTGAAGCATTAGAAAATTATGAACAATGTCTGAAAATTGAGCTTAAATTACATCCAAAAACTCATCCAACTGTAGCTGTAACTTATTATAATATAGCAACAACATTGGAGGCATTAGAAAAATTGAAAGAAGCAATAGAAACAATCCAAAAAGCTATAGCACGTCTACTTCTAACGAAAGATACAAATGACGAAGATGTACAAATGTATAAAGAATATGAAAAAAGTTTGCGACAAAAACTTTCGGTCAAAAGTTTATGTGACACTAGTTAAATACATGTATTTTCTTTTTGTTTTTTCATATGTTCACCGTTGGTTTTTCTTTTATTTCATTAACTGTCTGGATGCTTGACATTGCACATTGAATATTTAACATGAAATATAAATTCTATTTTATGAATAATCATTTAATACAAATTTTAGATAAGTCTTATTTCATAAGAGAGTCAACATATACTAAGCAGCAAAAACTTATCAATACAACTATAGAAGTTAAATAATTCTGATTAGATTTTGTAATTCTGATGATATATTGACTATTTTTTTCAGAATATATTTTGTAAGATTAACTTGATGACAATAATCCATTTATGAAATATGAACCACTTTGGATCAAACGGTTTTGTAGTTTTCAACTCTAATTGTCTTTAGAATTCTTATCTCCTTTTATTCTTTTGTAAAATTTCAATGATTTTCAGATCAATCGATATGGATGTGTCTAATCAAAGGTTCACGTATTATCGTCAAAGTCATCTATGTAGTCGTTGTTATGTCCGACATGTTATCAATCAAAGTATACATGAACTGTGAGTAAAAAAGAGTTTGTTTCTAATTGAAAATATGTCTGATTTTCAAGTATAGGCTCCGCGTTTTATAAAAATTTTCCAAGCAAAAGCGGCTCTTTCTTGAAAACAGCACTAGTTCAATAAAAAATAATGTCATTCTGGAGATAGATACGCTTTAACACCACTTTGCTTCTATTACCAGTTCGTAGATATACCATCAGATCCAGATTGATACTCAAAAATATGAAATCCACTTTGATTTTCAACGTGACTGATTTGGAATAGGTTCACAAACTGAATTCAAAAGAAGCATAATATCCTCATGAAATATATTCTTGTTCGCTTTCCATTCATGTAACTTTACACTACTGGCCAAAAGTATCTCCCTTAAATCTCTGTTACTATGAGAACTGAACGTCTGAATATTCGTGAGCTGATGGTCCCCAAAGAATGTAGGTCTGCGGTAATCTTAACGACAAAATTGCTCGAGCTAGAACGGAGTTATAATAGGTGATGCTTATTAACATTATAAATCTCGTAACTCACGAACTGAAAATTAATTTGAGTCGCTTTATCCTTCATTTTGTAGATCTGCATTATATCTACTTATGATATAAACTTCACCGAAGTTAATCAAGCTATAAACGAACTACACCATGTCTACCGAACACAGGCATATGCAGAAAAACCCTATAGTATCACTGAGTGGTTAACAACTGAGCGGTAGTTCAACGAATCTATGTGAAATTTTCAGAAGTAAGTGCTTCACTGAACAAAAATGACGCACCAAACATCATGGAGAATTTTTCAGAACTCTGGGGTTTCCATTTCTCAGGTAACTAAACTTATCTTTTGAGCTATGAAAGAGATTGAGTTGATCTGCAGCTTCGTAACGGTGTGGCTGTACATCAAACGATTACACCATCCCATGCAGGACCACATCCAACCAAACCCACACCAATACCGACCGCCCACACCCACCTAAACGCTCTCGGACACCCATACCCCGCAGCTCACACCACACCCACACCCTACATTACATCCTACACCCACACTCACCTCAACTTTTTCTTAGGCCAAATGACCTTCTCAAGCTCATTTGTGCTGGTAAGCTCTTCGGAACATATCATAATGTTCAATTCCGTGTCGATGCATTTTATTCAAGTATTCTATTCATGAATCATCATCATACTCAACAGAATAATAACCATCATCTAGTACCAATCGATGAAAGTCACGACATGATCACGATTACACGACATTTGCGCGCGTGACATTTGCGCGCCGACACTTGCGCGCCGACACTTGCGCGCACGACACTTGCGCGCGCGACACTTACGCGCGTAACATTTGCGCGCAAAATGATTTCTTTTCATGGAATGAGTCTGCGTTTGGGTTTGAGTGTGATGATGTCGGAAAGTGGGTGCCACTGCAATGGGAAAGCAGTAGTTCGAGACAATCCTTTATGCATCTTCACTACCCTAGGGAAAATCTTTGATGTTTCTGTGTCTGATCCTTAACGAATCCAATCAGGATCCTTCAATGATTCGCTGTTTCTTTTCTGAGGAAATGACTAAATCCTGAAAGAAGCGTATAGCCACAGAATTTCAAGATCCTGGTAGTATTCCTAGCAAGATCCAATCAGGATTCTGAACAGATTGCGTCCGAAATGCATCAAATCTTGAAAGAATCATCTCTATTATTCCTGTGATGATACTAAGCAGGATTAAGCTTGAATCCATGTAGGATCCTGCATCCATGATTTAGAAAAATAGCTTGATAGGAACCTGGATACATCCTAAACAGGACCCTGCCTTACCCTGAGAAGGTCAAGAAAAGTGAGCTCCGCATGTAAACTCCAAATTTGGAGCTCACTTTTCTTCTCAATCCTTCTGTTATGGTTTGTGGCACCACCTAGAGTACTAGTAGCATTACCTTGAATACCAGAGGCATTTCCTGGGATCCCACTAATAATGCCTAGGATGCTAATGTCGATTCTCTCGGATGCTATGGGCATCACCTGGGATGCTAGAGGCTTTGGCTGGGATGCTGGAGGCATTGCCTGGGATGCTATGAGCATGACCGAAAATGCTACTAACGTCGTAGGTAATGCCTCTAGGATCCCCGGTAATGGCTCTAGCATCCCAGAAATTGCTTCTAGCATCCTAGAGAATGCCTCTACCATCCCAGTGACTGCTACTAGCACCTCAGAGAACAATACTAGAACTCCAGGAAATGCTACTAGCATTCCAGAAAATGCTTCAGCATCCCATGAAATGCTACTAGCATTCCAGAGAATGCTTTATTATCCTACTGAATGCTAGTAGCAGCCCAGAGAACGCTACCAGCATCACAGATGTTGATTCTAGCATCTCAGATGATGCTATTAGCATCCGAGGAAATGCAAGTAGCATCCCAGAAAATGCTACTAGCATTCTAGATGGTGCTATGAATCATAGCAGAGGGACTGAGAAGAAAATGGGCTCGAAATTTAGACTTTACGCAATTTGGAGTTTACACAGTTTGGAGCCCACGTTTCTTGACCCCGTGCGAAACCCTGGAAAAACGAATTATCAAGAAAGGTGGCAGGATCTTGTAGAAAACCTGACAAGATCCGTGAAGTCAAGGATCCTGAAAGATTCTTCCAGAATTCCTCAATGAATGATTGGAATTGAGACTACGGTAATACTTAACCCTCACAGCCACACGCACAGCCAGCATCTATTTTCTAAGCAACATCCGTAGTCATATCCAATCCAGACCGAAGTCAAGCGCAGAACAAATCATTTTGCGCGCAAGTGTCGAGCGCGCAAGTGTCGTGCGCGCAAGTGTCGCGCGCGCAAATGTCGGCGCGCAAGTGTCGGCGCGCAAATGTCGCGCGCGCAAATGTCGTGTCACGCATGATCACATCCACCATATTATTGACCGCTGTCAACAACGATAACTAACAATAACAGCAACTGATGAGACGCTCCAGGAAAAAGGAAGAGAAAGTGATCGATAAAGTATTCAATCAAATTGAGGATCTTCTCAGTGACTTCATGCGTGAACTTCATCGACACCATTTCCATTATAGTATTCTTTAATGTTATTTCGAAGATCTTTCCTGTTTATTCAATGTGACGGTAGTCATCACTCCACTACGAATACCAGCTGACTACACATGACATTAGACCATCGTCCGAACGAGCTCTTCCCATGGTTTCTTCTTCTATCAATAAATCCAACTTTCGAAACTTTGTTTTTCTAGAAGATATCTAATGCCATCTAATGATGACCCTTAACCCTTTGACTACTGACATAAGAGACGAAAGAAACGATTTTCTGAAATATTTATTTATTTTTTTATGGAGCGCTTCTATAGTGTTCCTTAACAAAATGGTAATTTTGGAAGTGTATGATATCTAACGTTTGTTTCTATACAAATGCTTCTAAAAAAAAACATACATTATGTATGATCACTTTGGTTTACACAAACATGAAACTATAGACGTTTATAAACGGCGGCGGTAGTCAAAGGGTTAAGCAAGGTCGAAATCTAGATCACGGCGTGCTAGGCTCATCTTTTCCTCAGCCTCAATCATTTCTCAAACGAGATTCCATAACAAAACATTTTTCTGTGTAGATGTTAAGCTAAGATTTTTAATCATTCAAACAACACTCAAGATTCAGCACCGTTTTTGGGGATACTGTCACGTACATATACTTCGACTACAGAACAAGTATGGAAATTCGAAACCTTCTGGAACTTCTAGCAGATATAGACGAATTTGACTTATATAATCTGCCACTATTTCCATATTATGCGACTTTGTTTAATTGAGATATTGTCAGTGCAAATTGAAAGAAATGAATCCGTCACGTTTTGACAGACCAAAAAGCAAGATTTGAGACTAAAAGATCGATTTGTTTATCGAAGGATGATCTGCAAATTTCGCAATTCTAGTGGAACAACCGAAGTCAGTTTCTATGCAACCATTCCTGATTTTACATTGTAGTTTAGCAAATACAAAACATGTGAGCACAAGCAAAAGAATTTCTCGAATAGTTTATTGACGTTGCAAGTAGATAGTCTCTTTTTAAGGTGAATGTGTGATGGCTAGTGCTGAAACATCGTTTTATATTAGTTCGAGACTATATAAGCGAAATTCATCGACGACTCCCATATACTGTCGTGCTGCCAATGAACCTCTATAACAGTAATGACCATTTGATCCATCATTACCCACAAATAAATACATGTTACGACCACTGGCAGAGAAATATCTCTTCATATTAACAACCATCGTACCATTTACATAAAGACTCACTAGAAAGAAATCAAAACATGAAAGCGTATTCAGAAAGTCACGAGACGATGAACAGTCATCGTTTTCTTCAAAACCTGTGTGGGACATTCGTCTATTTTCTCTGCTAGAATAAAATGAGCTATACTCACAGCCATTTTCAACACTGAATGTTTGCTCAAGATGCGTCCATGTATCAAGC